CGAACAATCCACTAGACTTGTTCCCAGAGCCATACGCAAGAGCAAGGCAACACATGGGAATGATCCCACAGTGCGCTGGGTACGAGATTGACCTTACCATCGGTGACGTACAGGAGGACCATTGGCCAAACGCCACAGATGGCCACAGATGAAGAGGGTAGAAGGCCTTAGAACCACATGACTTGTAAGGCCCAATAGGGACCCTCAAGACGTTTCTTAGCGGGAACATCATTGCTGATCAATGGCCAGGGTAATGGAGGACACTCCCGAAAAGAGCAATGTCATCCCCGTCATTGTGCGGGGTGATGGGTAACGCGGGTACCGTCAGCAATCGGCAGCTGAGTCGTTTTGACTAAATTACGCTGTATTGTTTGCGGCCTTTTCTACCTTCGGACGACAACCCCACACGGCTACAAACGGTCCTACTTTTTGGTTCACTTTTTATCTAAAGGTCCAAGACTTTTCTTTAAAAGACGGACTGATTCGTGTCACCAGCAAGGCTGGAATCCGTCGTAGGAAAACGGCTCACTTTGTCATTGAAAAAGTTATCTCTGATTTTTTCTTTAAAAACCCTCTAAAAACGCAGGAAATGCCATTTCAGAAGGTTCATTTTCAAATTTCCCGGGGGAGCATGCCCCCGGACCCCCCTAGGAACCTCGCGCCTTCGGCGCTCGTTGGTCCCCCCTTCAAAATCCTGGCTACGGCCATGTTACCTCCATTCACGGATCGCCCTCCGATCTTCGGGCGATCGACTCGCGGTCAAGTTGGTACCTGCGGTAATACTGAATACCCCATTTTGTATTCTATACTTTCAATGTATAAGGAAGTGACCGCCGGTTACTACTTTTAATTCAAGTTTTGTCACCTCAACATGTAATAAATCAAAAGGTTTTCATGAAAACATGCAGTTGCTAGGTGATTGAGTTCTGCATAGTGCGTTCGGAATCTTTCGAATTTAGCGTAGAGCGTAGAGAGGCATCCGGAATTCAGCGTAATACGTAGCCGGCTCTCAAAATTTAGCGTAGAGCGTTGTCGGGACCCCCCCTTGGGGGCCCCCGTATAGGTACTGGCATCCAGGCTAACCTTGGTTAAACCCAAACCTTACGGCCAGCCTTGGGCCTGAAGATAACATACGTCAACAATATGTGACTTACGGTCATGCAAGCGTCAGCGCTGAGTGACAAGATCACCATGTTAACTAACTTTCAACGCCAGGCATTTTTCAAGCTTCCACCAGGCCTCAATAGTATTCCCATGGGGTTCGGATCGAAGAATTCAGAGAAAAAGGGGATATACTAGTAATTGGCCAGGAAAGTCAGTTCGTGGGAAGGTTAATTTCCCCCTCCGAAGGTAAATTAATGACCTCTACGGCGGCTAAACTCCCCTGGCCAATTACTCTCTATTTGGTTAAATCTTACTATTTTTGAGCCCGCATTGTTACTCTGGTGGAGACTAGAAAAATCAAGACAAAATTCGCCGAATTTCTGCCGTCTACATTGGCCTTCATCATACATAGACGACAGACAATTCGCTGAGTACTGAGTGACGTCTTTTGTGTTCAATGAAGTTGAAAACTTCAATATGCGTCCACAAACACAGATGATTTTCCATTCTATGAGTTTCTGGTGTTTGGGGGAACACAAAAATTGCAGTCTCATGACTTGTAAGCGTTAATCACAATTAGTTCAAGCTGTTTTATGTCACACGAACCAGGAAACAGGCGAAACTTTCCCCCAAGAGACTTACAGTAAGCTTCCTCCGCGCGTCTTCCCACATCCGACACACGCACAGACCCGGTCAGGAGAGATTAGACCAACCCCGCGTCAGGTTCTGAGTTTCGCGCGGATGACGTCACACGTGCGCAAGGCGCGGTAGAACGTTCGAACATAGTAACCGCCAGGGTCGTGACCTTGTAGGTCCTTGTAGCCTCCGTAGCAGGCTTATAGAAATGGGGGTTTGGTGGTCTTTGGCTGTTTTCTGAGTAGCCCAGTTCTTAAAACGGGGGTAATTCAACCAGGCCGGCTATCTGGTCTAACTTATATGCAATCAGAAAATAGCACCTATATGAAAGCTACCAAAGACCCTGAAGGCCCCAAACCCCCAGTTTTTGGCATGCTATGGAGGCTAGTGACCTTGGATCTGGCACGGGTCTTGAAGTGATTATTTTCAGATTAAGTTGTTATTACTCGACAGGAAAAAGTAATTGGAACGACATGCCCTGAAGAAAACAAGGGCAACGGTTATCAAAAACAACACTATATCATTCAACTAAGCATATCGGCTTTGATATTTTATCCAAACAGGTGCATGGTTTTGACCTTTCTTTCTTTGGTAGATCTTTCAACATGACCAAGTTATGCTGTAGGCATATTGCGTCTAGTGTGACAAAAACGTGGCTCATATGATTATAATTATTATTATGATCATAAGGCACAACTTTTGATAAGTCATATACATTAATAAAATTTCCTCACTTAACTCAAGTGAAAATGAGCATTGTCATGTCCTTTATTTGTACTCTGTGTTGGTGGCGGCATAAAATAAATTGATAAAACTTAAGTGTGCCGTCACCATTGTAGGTCATTAAATGTTGGAATGTAAGAAAAAATGTAATTAAAGTAGGCGTCCTTAATTGAAGGCAGATACAAAAGAGCTGAATATGAAAATACAGGACATGACTCATGCCTTTTATAATTAACTCTGACGGGAATTGCTCAAACGATTACACAACATGTTTTGTTTTCATCTTGGCAAAGTTTTGGATTTTGTTTAGTATTTGAAACAGAAGCGCAAGGGAAGTTGTTCATCAAATGAAGTAGCCTTGATAGAAAAAGACTTGCGTCATAACATCGATCGTTACTAAGAATACCGGTAGTCGTAATAGCTGGCTGAAATACAATTTTTTCGTCATGTAAACGTTCGAGATTTTTCTGTTTACTATGTAATTGAAAGAGAAAAGTAAGTACGTACGGCAAGGGAAGTTGTTCATTAACCAAAGTAACCCTGATATTAGAAGCCCTACGTCATAACACCATTACTAAGAACGGTCGTCTCTGGCTGTAATACAGTTTTTATCGTCTTGTAAAAGTTTTGGACTTTTTGTTTGTTTTATTTTGTAATTGAAAGAGAAGAGTAAGTCGTTCATCAACTGAAGTAACTGCTATAAGAATCCCTACGCCATGACAGCGTTACTAAGAACGGCCGTTATATGGCTGTAATACATGTACAGTTTTTTTCCGTCGTGTAAAAGTTCAGTAACCCTGACAGAAACACTACTAGCGTACCGTTACTAAGAAGGGCCAATAACCATACAGATTTTTCTTATGAAAGTTCTAATCATTTGTTTGTTTTGTAATTGAAAGAGAAGAGTAAGGGAAGTTGGGAAGTAACTGATATATAAGAATCCCTACGTCACGACACCGTTACTAAGAACGGCCGTTATCCCAGTTCTACAGCTGTATCATGTCTGCAACCTGTCAGCCCTGGACAGCGCCCTGCCATATATGGGCAATCATCACAAGTTTGTTTACTGACGTCATATAACAAACAACTGCCCTGGCTGTACGTGTGTCACCGGTGCCTGACCCGTCAGACGAAGTGCGTGGGAGGTACGTGGTCCCGCCTCCAAATTTGGACCGGAAGAACGGGGGAAGCGTAAACTTTGGGGTGTATATAAACCGGACAGTTCGCAGAGTTTCCAGCAAAAGCTTCAAGACTTCAACAGACGCGGGTCTTCAGAGAGAAACTTCAGCAGCGAACCGCAACCGACGACTTTTCTTCCTTAGTTTCTCAGCAAATCTTTCAAAGAAGCACTCGCCAGGTCTTCAGTACAGTTTCATTTCTACAACAGCGACCGAAGATCTTTTCTTGTTCTTGAGAGATGGAGTTTTCTGGGTTGAACATCGTCCTCCTTGCCGTGCTGGCCGCCTGTACCCTGACCGAGGGAGCCGTGAGGACCATACGGTCGCGGGGAGACACCGTGCCGCCTGGACATACCGGCAGCTCGCAGGTTGGTGTCTGAAATTCTTTGTGACTAGTATAACATGCCGTGAATCAGTTTAGTCGATTGGAAAGAGAGATCTGCTCACAGTTTCTTCCTAAGATTCATATTTTGGAAAGAGCGCTTATCCCGTATAACATGTATAAAGAACAAAACATATCTTTTGTGAAAGTTAGTTTTCTGGTACCTTTAATTTTAGCAATAGGGTCGGCAAAAAAACGAGATTCGAATTTCTGAGGGCAGTGAACAAGCCATTCAACCCCAGAAAGCCTTCTCTCATGTCTCTGTAGACGTCTAAACTTTTTCGGTGATTGAGTTTTTTGGCACAGACATTTGCTTGTAAGCTTGAGGTGATCGCTTTTCGTCCCGCCTATATGTGTTCATTAGCGGCATCGACGAGGATTCCTCCATTCTTCCCAAACTTACTGTAGATTTAAGAGCAGAAAAACACACGAGAATGGTCATTTTTGTAGTGAATTATCTTGAATTTATTCTACGAATACCTTAGATACGAACATCCCTGACTGTTTCATATCAAAGGCCATGAAAACGTCTCCTATGATCCCACAGTTGGTCGGACGCCAGCTACCGGTGCTGTTCTAGTGATAGTCTCCACCGCGGACCCCTTTGCGGGCAGAATAAGTAGTAGAAATCGGCCTAAAAGGGGGTTTAAATGGCCAGAGAGGTTGGCCGGCCAGAGAGGGTACAATAAATTGGACCCTCTCTAAATTGGACAAATTTGGACCAATTAAAACCCCTTTTTAGACTGAGTTCTACTATTTATTCTGCCCGCAAAGGAGTCCGGTGGAGACTACCTTCACCGCGCGAGTGGTTTCAATCAACGCTTCCTCCAAGTGCGCGTCTCTGGTCTTAAAGAGATCTTAAACCCGACAAGGGGATTCAAGTATGTCAAGATGAAAGTTAGCCTCCGAGGTTCACCCCGAACTGGGGGCGGCCAAGCGATAGCCTCCATAGCGTGCCAAAAACTGGGGGTTTTGGGGGTCTTCATGGTCTTTGGGAGCTTTTATGTGCTATTTTCTGATTGCATATAGACAACATAGTCGGCCTGGTTGAATTACCCCCGTTTTTAGAACTGGGCTAATCAGAAAACAGTCGAAGACCACCAAACCCCCAGTTCTATAAGCCTGCTACGGAGGCTAATCAGAAAACATCCGAAGACCACCAAACCCCCAGTTCTATAAGCCTGCTACGGAGGCTAATCAGAAAACAGCCGAAGACCACCAAACCCCCAGTTCTACAAGCCTGCTACGGAGGCTAGCCAAGCGAGGTGTTCCTGATTTAACAAAAACAGAGATGTTTGTTTGGAGTAATTTTGCTCGATTTCCTCTTGTTTGGTTTGGCTGATGAGTTTTCCGCCGCCTCGGGGGGACTGGGAAGTTTCGGCATGTTTGTCACATACTTGATACTTCATATGATATGGTTTAGCCTATGGTTTAGCAGGGGGCACTCAAGCTCACGTCTTAATCTTGTGATAACAGAAGATAAGAATCTCTGACGAGACAAGCATGGGAAGGTCTTTAATTCCTTTGATTTTACCGCGATAAATTCTATCTAAGAAAACAGAGACTGATTCCTTCCTTCTTCCTTTCTCTTTTTTTCACTCCAACCAGGTCTCCACAACACAGGGAAGTCAGATTAAGCGTCCTGACACGTTCAGCTGCCTTGTTACATTGACAAGGCCACTTTAGTTAGATCCTCCTGGGACGAGCTACATTTGTACACAAAGTAGTTGTAATGTGTGTTCTTGTTCTTCAAAACGATAACCCGTTTTTCATCTTCTCTATCTTCCAACAGACGGACGGTAGCTCAGTGAGCACGGGAACAGACGCGAATGGGAATTGCGTCTACTCGTTCCACGTGCCGATGGACGCCATCAACCTGCGGCCCTGTCCGGACAGTACCGACTCGCAGGCGATGGCGCAGCTTCGTGCCGACATGGCCGCCCAGGCCACCGCAGCGAACTCACGGATCACGGACCTAGCCGCACAGGTGGGGCAAGACTACTGTTGCGTTCTTTCCGTCAGTTTTTTAAAAAACCTAAATACATCAAAAAGGTGGAAAATTCGATTCTTTTCTTTTACTTTTTAGCTACAGGTAGCCAAAAAAAAGAGGCTCAAAAGCCAGTCGAGTATAGGGTATTCACTAGTTGCTTTTTTACGATCAAAATTAGACTTGTTTGAGCCTTCATACATGCAATCGAAACATGATACAATTTGTTAAGGAATGATTTAAGACGGAACAAAAAAACACAGAAAACGGCCAAGACGTAGGTGTATCGCGTTTCTTTAGTTTGGATAGTTTTCTTGTGTTTCACATCTTTGGCTGTCCGGTGCATTTCCTATGCGTTTGATGGTTTTGTGCTTAGTCAATTAGAAATTAATGAGTAACTTTAATAGTACGTATTCTCTGACGTAAAATGATGTGTAACTACTAGGAAATGCTTGTACGATATCGTGACCCGGAAATACAAGTGTGATTCACCGTTTTTCGTGACTGACGTTATGGTGATTCACTTCCTCAGGTCGAGCTTCTGCAGGAGAGCCTTGCAGCTCAGCAGCGCCACATAGAGGTCCTTCAGAGAACTGCAGAAATGCAAGCCTCCAGCTCACCCAACCACGTGCCCGGAGTCCTGCGCCCTTACCGCCTCTTCGGCAAGAAATAAAATAAAGACAACTCTCAACTAGCGATGTAAAAATGTCTGGCTAACCATGCGTGAAAACCACGCTATGCAAAATGTGGAGCCTCTACCAGGCTTCGGGAGGCGGGTGGAAAGAGTAGTAGAAATTGGCCGAATAGAGAGATAACATGCCAGGGGAGTTGGTCTGCTGGAGAGAACAGTTTGTCCAACCAACTCCCAAAGCCTGGTAGAGGCTACAAAATGTGTAGATATTGAACATATCGTATTTATTCTAGATTTGTTTGTAACTTTTGAATGCATTCTGGAAATGCAACTCTCAGGCAATTATCATTTGTAATGATCTAAATCTAACTCCTTCATAGATTATGATTATATATAACGTTACATGTACTCAAGCTCATTGTAAATAATGTGAATCTTTGTAGATGGTTAAGTAGTTTAATAAGTAATGATTTACTGTCATACACAATTTCGACATTTCAAAATGACCAGTACATGTATTTTAATGTTAACTTATAAACTGGAAATCCGACTGGATCCTTAGATTGCTATGTCAGAAAATTGTAGGCGGATTTTTGTCCAAATCCTACTTGACCAAACATTATCCCCATATTGTTATTATTTCATCATTATGATTATTATTATTAGGTAAGGGATGGTTCACTACATTGTATATTGTATGTTTATTGATGAATAAATAAATAAAAAAATCGACATACCCTTTGCTAAGACTCGGATAAATCAGAGAAATTTACATTCTTTTTGTTTTGTGGCTGTAGACAGGGACGCCGTCCAAGGCAGGAAAGACCCACGCTGTTTGTTTTGCTATTGTTATGTGCTGACGAACAATCGAAGTCGGCGCCTTTCGCAAACGTTAATCTCATTAAAACCTGTTTTTCAAAAAAAAAAAACATTATCCCCATTATGAAAATGTACGCTGACTGTGAATATGATTATTCATGTATGCAGAATAAAGGACTTTCAAGGATACCTCTCAGGCTTGTATCTCTGTCCTTGGGACTGTATATTTATGCAGCATACCACAATAATAGAGTCTTAACCCTTGTCCTGCTGTGCGCAACATATGTCGCGCGGCACATACAGTACCATCTATATAACACCCTGCATAGGTACGATTTGGGGGTATTTCTCGTGCAACGCATCACACCGCAGCGAAACAAAACGAAATGCGGAAGTAACTATATATGCCACTGCAGGGCAAAAAAATTGGGGGTCTATGATCTAATTAAGACATGAAATTATTGAAAAATATTGTGCCAGGAATCAACTGTATGAAAGAAACATACTTTTACTGTATGACCAGTATTGTATCATTTTTTAAACAAGTAGAAGCACCGTCCTGCACATATAGTGCTGAAAAAGCTGTAGACCAAGCTCTCTTTTGGAAAAAAAATATGCTATGTCAAAATGCTGTGACAGAAAAACAATTGCGGATAAACCTTGTAACATGTAAACAAGCTGAAGGTAGTTAATATGTATTTTCTGATTTGTTTGGAGGGAGAAGTAACTTAGCGCCAGTGCTACCTAAACATGAAGGGGCAATGGTATTTTCAGAACCATTTATCCGCCATTATAAAATAAGGTGACTGTTGTACGCAGGCTAAACTTTATGTCAACACGTTTTATCAAAATACTTGTAAAAACTTCCAATGTGAACTGCAGTGCATCCTAGCGAACATTTATCTTTGTTTCTGATTTTTCTTTGTTTCTGGGATATAAAAAAAGAAAAGAAAAAAAGGAAAGGTCTCCCATGCTCTTATGCAGAGCGTAGGGTGGTGCCCATATCCATTTCTGTAGCCCTTGGGCGACACACAATTGTGCAATGCACTACAGCAGGGGGCTGGTCCGCTGGTAGTGCTGTGTGTTTGACCTTCCCACACCCTTTCTCATAGATGCTGAGTGCTAAGCAGAGAAAGAAGTGTGTACCATTTTTAAAGTCTTTGGTCGGGCCGGGGTTTGAACTCACGACCTCCCGGTTACAAAGCGAGCACTCTACCAATTGAGCTATTGCACCGGTATAAAATATAATAAAAAATAAAATAAAATAAACGCCCAATGATAAAACAGTTCTGTCCTTGGATGAACCAATGTTCTTTTATGAATAAACATGTATTTGAATATGTACACATTCTGTATGCATGTGCAGTGTCCTTCGAAAAAGTATTCTTAAGTAACAAATATCCTTGGGTTATGCAATGTTCTTTTGTGAATAAAAATGCATTTAACGATATATAGCTACACATTCTGCATTCAACGTCCTTCTGCGTTTTGCACAGAAACAAATATTCTTGGATTATGCAATGTTCTACTATGAAAATAATAGAAATTTTATTGCAAATACTTACCCGAGGGCTAATTGCAGTTACAAACAACATAAGAAAGAAAATACAGTGGTATGTGAGACTATATCTACGTCTAACATTATACTATATTCTACAACATGCATGGAGCTAGTTTTACTGGGTTTGACTTTTTAGGCAGTGGAAGACGAATTTACCCACTTCTTCTATAATATGTGGGTTCTTTGATTTTAGTAGTAAAATTGTTTTTTTTTGTGGTAGGGAATGGTGGGGAAGTAAGGGAGTATTTTGGACATGGTGCTAAATAATTGTTTTCTGATGTCATCATAAAATGGACAGTTAGAGATGAAATGAGTTTCGTCTTCCACTGCATTTGAGGAGCAATATTTACAAATTCTCTCCGACACAGGTAGTTTCATATATCGCCCTTTTTCGATTTCCAAGGGGTCAGGGCACTGATTCTAATTTTACTAATAGCGGAGCGCTGCTCGAAGTCACAGTGTTCTAGGTATTGTTCAAAACAGTATTCAGTTTTACATTTTCTATAGAATCTCAGTTTACCAGTATTAACAGACAAACTATGGAAGAAAGTTTGAATGTACATGTCTGAAAGCCTTGCCCTTAATACTTTATACATATGTTGAGGACTGCAAAGCTTTATGAATAGAAATGCGTTATGAATAGAAATGCATTTAGCCTCGCATTCTGTATTCAACGTCCTTCAAAAAATAGTCTCCTGCACGCCGCATAGAACTGAAGGCGACAAATCTGAAAAATGGAAAACAAATATCCTTGGATTATTTTTTTTATTCCAACATGTAATCCCCAGACGTGGTGCCGCCACCAACACAAGAGACAAATACATGACAGGACAATACTCATTTTCACCTGAGCGAAGTGAGGAAAGCCGTGTAAAGTGCCTTTCCCAAGGGCACAAGATCGGTGGCATGTCAGGACTCGAACCCGGGACCTCTAGGTTCCGAGTCGCGCACTCTGCCGCTACACCACACGACCCCACTCATTTTTTTTATTCAAATCAAAATTCAAATTTTTGTATTCATAATCCTTGTATTATGCAATGTTCTTTTTATGAATAAAAATGCTTTTAACGATATGTACCTAGACACATTCTGTATTCAACGTCCTTCTGCATTTCGCACAGAAACTGAAGGAGACAAATCTGACTCCATGGCAAGAAACAAGGAACATGGCGACGGACTAGAGGAAAAACACATCTACGACAACGACAGAAACGTTGGATCTCCTTTTTCTGGTAAGGCCACACCGCCTTAATTTTATGGATGGCATCCGCGCGCGCATTGATTTTCACCTGTTCTCATAAAAAAAAGATCACGTCCTCAGAGGCTCTGTCCGGACTGTAGGCCTGGGTAGTCCATGGTGGTTAGCGACAAAACAGAGACAACTCGGGCTGCCGAAGCTCCAAGACTCAAGAACTCAGTACATACATAGAGTGCAGATTCAAAAATTCCGCAAAAAGCCAGCATGTGCCGGCTTGTCGTATACGTCGCTATATACTGCTGCAAATTCACAATACCAGCTTTGCATTTCTGTGGTTAAGTTGCATTTTTATTTTTGGCCGGAATTTTTTTTATTCGCCCGCGCGCACTAGTTTGGGGGGTCTTTAGAGGATGTCATCCATAAAATTAATTGTGACCTAACCGAGTAGTCTGAAATAAAAAAAAGAAATGAAATGTATAGGGTTAGCGCTGAGTTAATCTATTTAAATTGATTTAGAAATGGAAATATGAACTGCTGTGCATTTTAGAGATTATCTTTGTTTTAATTTGAGGGGGGGGGGGTAAAAATACAGCTGTGTCTTTGAAAGCACAATGTGATTTTTTTAAAATAGAATACTCATATATATTCACCAAAAGGGTAACCAAAAGACAGCGTCCTTTTCTCGTGTCTGTGATATAGCTAAAATAAATAAAAACTAATATTGTGTCCAACTATATCCACCACTCTGGAAGATTTGACCAGTCTCATTAATGTTATGTTATAGGTATTGGTGCGCCAGCCATTTTCATTTTATGTTTATGTTATACTTATGTTTGCTTTTGTATTATGTCATCTCTATGTTTACATTTGTATTATGTTTTATGAGCAGCGGATTTGCACAACAAGTGCTTCCTATCCAATGCTCAAAAATCCATGTGAATAAAATAAAATAAAATAAAATAAAATAAAATAAAATAAAATAAAATAAAATAAAATAAAATAAAATAAAATAAAATAAAATAAAATAAATAAATAAATAAAATAAAATAAAATAAAATAAAATAAAATAAAATAAAAACAACTAAATGTTTTGTAGTCAATCTTTACTGTCTGGACAATAACTTTGCTGTATTTTTTTTTTTTTTTTGCACAGAAACAGAAGGTGCCAAAGCTGAAGCAATTGGTAGAAACAAGGGCGTTAATAACGAGGGAATAGAGGAGGACCACAAGTATTGCAACGACACACACATTGTAGGGCCTACTGGTAACCAAACAACGCAAAACTCGACGTATGTTCCACGCAGTGGAGGGCCTACTGGCAACCAAACAAGACAAAACTCGACGTATGTTCCACGCAGTGGAGGGCCTACTGGCAACCAAACAAGACAAAACTCGACGTATGCCCCACGCCGTGGACTGACTGATAACCAAACCAAACAAAACTCGACGTATGTTCCAGGTGTACAGCAACAAGACGAAGGTGGGTCGTAGATTTACTTCTTGTTATGTTTACCAATGGACAGCATATTGTTTTTGCTACGTTTCTTCTTCTTCTCCAAACATTGACCTCTGACCTGACTGAACCAGACTGTCTCATCATGGTAACTGGTGTTGGGTTACATGTTGCAATTTATAGTAGAAGGGATTAAGACTCCTGTCATGTATGTGAATGTGTTTGAGTAAGATAACAGAGCAGACCATATACGAAGGTAAACATTATTCATTTGCTTCGCAAATTTTACCTTTCCAGTTATTATATACTATTCAATGTTCACCGTCTGTACAATAACTTTGCTATATTTATTTATGACGATTTACCACATTTGTGGAAGGATTGACATAACAGGTGACTATCACCTTTTCAAAGATGTCAAACCAGACCAGACTGTAATGTTTAAACCACTCACACCGGGAAGGTCCCTTACTCTTTTCGATAAGTGTGGTGGGTTCTTTAACACGGGACCTCCATTTAACGTCCTATCCGAGGGACGTCCCTAGCTGAAGCTAGGTACTCATTTTACACCTGAGTGAAGTGAGGAAA